TTTGGAGGAGCTGGAAGGCTTTAAAGATTTAAGGTTTGAACTAGACCTTGAAGGATGAGCTGGGATAACTGTCTAGGCTAAGTAATAATCTCAAAAGCCAGAAAATCACTATTATCGTTTCCCACTCTATTATTTCTTCAGGCTTTGATGGTCCTGAATGGATGAAGGGCCTAATGTAAAGGAGTGCAGGGTGCCTGACTTTGGCCTTGTCTCCAGGGTTTGTCACCCCCGGCAGATCTCTGCAGAGGCAGAGCATTAACAGCAACATGGGAGCTTCTTGCTACAGACTGGCCTGGTATTACGGGCTATTATTGTCTTCAGAAACTGGGTGTTTGAGCCATCCTGTTAAGGTCTTGAGCATAAGATTCTAGAAGCCATGTGTTCTTTAAGAATTTCCCCTGCCTCCTAGGACCAGAAATGTCCTAAATTAGAAGACAGAGATTTGTGCCCTTTGTAATCTTGATTGCTTAGCAAATGCAGTCAGGCACTTAGGGTCAGTTAAATATGATGAATTTTTCTTAACTCCAACTTTTCGCCTTCTCGGAGCTACTTTAAGTTCTCTGGCAATGTTCCCCTATGACGGTGGCCGTCTGAAGAAGCGTAGGCATTTCCCTTCCTTTATTATTATTTTTTTCAATTTCTGGAAGCAGCAGTCCGTTCTCCTTCCTGCCCTCACTTGGCCCCAGAGTTTCTGACTTCTCTCCAGAGACACTTATTTGGAAACTTTTTGAGCCAGTGGGGAATCAACTTAGAGGCTTTTTTTCTTTTAGACCAGTGGAAATATTGTGTGTCATGGATGAAAAGATTTGAGTACTACCAGTATCACACTGAGTCTATATAACAAGGCTGTTTCCATGTCTTGGCCCACAGCCTGAGTTAATTTTGCTTTGCTGGATGTAGAGACAATGAATTGTTTGAACAAGAAATCATGTGTAACAAATGCTTTTGCAAAACCGTGTCCTTTTAGCAGTTACTTTAGTAAAGATGTCCTTCAGCAAGGGGTTTCGGTACAACAGATGCCTTTAAACACCTATACAATGCTTAACAACATAATTTTAAAAATATACTTTTAATTTTAGAATAGTTTTTGATTTACAGAAAACTTGTAAAGATAGTACAGAAAGTTCTCCTATACTCCATGCCCAGTTTCCCCTGTTAACATCTTAAATTAGTGTGATAGATTGTTATAATTAGCCACTTACCCTTGCCTGTCTGTAACCTTCCGCTCCAACAGTGAGAACCCTGACTCCTACTGTCATCTATTTACATAATTGTTCAATTCCAGTATATATATGTAGTGGTCTCAGAATTATGAACCTGTATCCCCATGGGAAACAGCTTCATCAAATAGAGTAATATGTTTTTGTATAGTTCCTTTTGCCTTTAGTCTTACAAACTTTACTCATTTCCAAAGTGACTCAGGTCAGTACCCTTTCCCCTACTCCCTTCAATGAGGCTCTTTCATACATTCGTAATACAGTTAGATTCTTTTGTCACAATCAACATTCCATTCAGGGATCCCTTAACCCCATGGATGATTTTTTTTAAAACTGTATACATTAAGGTTCATTTTTGTCCTTTAAATTTCTATAGGTTATGAATATCGTCACGTTTACATTGGCATTGCAGTATCATACTCAATAGTTTCACACTCTAAAAAGTCCCCTGAGCTTCACCTGTTCAGACCTCCCTCCACCCCAGTGAATCTCAGGCAGCCACTGATCTGTTTACCATCTCTATTTAAATTTAACATTTAAAAAATATGTTAAAATTAAAAAAAAATTTTAAATAGTTGGGGCTTTTATAAATCGATTGGACTTTCATAGATTGTGAGTACTTTCTTTGGAAATGAATGTCTTTGACCTTAAAGATGTTATAGCTGTTATCAGTTATTATACCTGAAACTCTTGGATTTGGGGCCTGCCTCTTGAGTAGCAATACAATTTTATCATTTTTTAATGAAGGGACACTTCACTCATTATGTCTGCAAACCTCTGAGACATTCAGAGGAATCAGGGCACTTGAAGTGGGGGTAGAAGGATGAAGGAGGTAAAGGAGATGTTTCAACAGAAAATGCAAGAGATTTCAGCTAATGCGGGGGAAGTAAGGGGTAGTTGTAGCTCAGATAAGAGTGGTTATGAATCAGTTGTGAAATACTTGATGTAAACCAAGATAATGCTTACACAACACAGACTTCATCAAGTACTGGGATCAGGTTAGGCATTTACCTGCAGTTCAGGACCTTTATTTCAATTCTGCACACTCCTTATTGAGTGTCTGCTGTGCTTGACTTTGCTGTGCTATGTGCTCTGAGCATGCCTTCTTCTGGTGCAACTGTTTGGTCACATACTTCCACTTTGGAAGAGCTGGCCATTCTGCAACATTCAAGGGCTTCCCCTAACTCAAGAGTTCAGGGCATTCCTTCCTGACTACCAAGGCCACTTGCTTATCCTGGAACAACAAAGGCATGGGTGACCCTTGGTCATACTTCACTCCCCAATCCCGTCTCTCAGCATGTCCCTAGTCCCACAGTTGCTGTTGAATATGTAGGATCACATTAAATTTGGGGAAGGGAGGTGGAGAGGTACTATGTGCTGTTGGAGGGAAGGGACTTCTGTTCTCATTCCCTTCAGTTGCCCTGGGGTTACTTCTGAAAAATAAATGGAAGATATGGGAGGGGGAGAAGGTCTGAAAAATAAATGGAAGATATTGGAGGGGGAGAAAGTAAGGGACACAAGAAGAGAAGACAATGTTTTATTTAATCTGAACCATATACCTAGCATATAAGTGAAGAGGAAAGGAACTCAAACTTGTTGAGTGCCAACTATGTGCCAGGGTCTCTGTTGGGATTTCTTACACATTTATTTCCCTACAATGACTCTATGAAGTAGATTTTTTAAAAAATCTTTATTTCTCAGATAAACTGAGGTTCAGAGAGGCTCACTAACTTGTCTAATTTTACACAGTGAAGATTCAAACCTAGATCTCCTTAACTCTAAAACCCTGGCAGCACATTAAAATCACCTGAGCCCTTTTATGAGCAATCCTTATCTGAATCCCAGACCAAATTCCAATTTCTGAGGGTAGGGATGAGCATTAGCACTTTTAAAGCACCCGCAGTGATTACATATAATGTATAATGTGCAGGTAGGGTTGAGAACCATGGCTCTGCTCCGAGAGACAGTGCCTAGGGAAGGGGCATTTTCTGAACCAGTGTGCATTCTAAATACTCTCAGAGTACTTTTATATCCACCCCATGCCCTATTTCCTATCCCTCACAGGGGTTTTTATCATCCCTAAATACCTGTAAGCAGGCAGGTGGAGTGGGGGCAGAGGTTATTACTGATGGTAGAGAACTACAAATATGATTGAGTTAATCTAAACAATTTTTTTGATAAGATGTGCATGTGGTGCTGATAGATTGTCAAAGTACAATGTCAAATAGTGTCAAGAAAATTTGATATGATTTTCAAAAGGTGCTGGCAAATTTTGTTTGTTGAATATTCATACACCAAATACCAAAGAGTACTGACTTAGTATCTTAGTTTAAAGCAGGTGTAAGAAGATGGGATTTGGGTGTGTTCCTGGTGGAAAAAAAAATCTATGAATTCCTGAGATTAGATTTGTTAATTGCCATACAACATTTAACATGTTTCTTGAAGTATGATTTATCATGCCTCTGACATCCCTATCAATGATAAAACCCCATTCTTTTGCAGTCTCCTTTTAGCCTTGAAACCAACCATGAGTAAGAACCATTTAAATAATATCAAAAGGACATAAATAACCACACAGCTCATTCCCCCAGGTCTTCACTAAATTATTACCTTCTACCCCTGGGAAGTCCTGACATATATACACTATTGATACTATGTATAAAATAGATAACTAATGAGAATGTAATATATAGCTCAGGGAACTCTACTCACTGCTCTGTGGTGACCTAAATGGGAAGGAAATCCAAAAAAGAGGGGATATATGTATACGTATAGCTGATTCACTTTGCTGTACAGTAGAAACTAACACGAAATACATATTGTAAACACATATGATAAAGCAACTATACTCCAATAAAATTAATTAAATAAAAAAAGAGTAAAAAATTTTTTTACCACAATAGCACAGATATCAAACCAATATTATTAGAAATGGAGTCTAAACTGGCTCGGGAGAAGGCATCCACTGGATTTTCATTTAGTATAATTAGTTTTTATTATAAATGGCAAATGCTGTAAATCTGAAACCTTTAGTAAGGTGAAGAAAGAGTATTGTACAGACCCAGATTTATTAAAGCACCAAAATTTTTATTTATTTATTTTTGGGGGCCGCACCATGCGGCTTGTGGGATCATAGTTCCCTGACCAGGGATCGAATCCATGCCCCCTGCAGTGGAAGCGCAGAGTCTTAACCACTGGACCACCAGGGCAGTCCAGCACCAAACATTTATTGAGCACATACTATGCTGCTGAGCACTGTGCAGATTGCAGAGATGCCTAAACTAAAAAAAGCCCCTGCCTTTATTGAAGTATGATTAAAAGTATAATGGAGAATATATGTTATATATAGGGTCAAAAACAATCTTTATTGGTGACAAATTTAATGGCTTATGGTATATTTGGAAGAAAAATGTCTTATGGTACAATTGGCTTTAGATACCACCTCTCATGCTGAAGAAACAGTGTAGAAAGAGCATGAACTAGCAATCAGTGAAATCAGATCTATGTTCTGCTTTGCTGCTGTTTATTAACTCAACCATTTGTCAAAAATTTACTGAGAGCTTACACCGTGGGAGGAACTATATTAAGTGCTGGAGAGCATGGTAGCAACCAGCTCCCTGCTCTCAATGTGAACATGAACTTGTAGCTTAACATCTCCACGCCTCTATCCTTGCTTAGACTAGATGTCCGAGGTCTCTTTCAAATCTAAAATGCTAAGGTTTGTGACAGCCTTGTGGAGGGGGAAGCTGCCCAGACAGGCAGCCCTGGGACTTGGGAACTTACCTTCCTCTCTGAGGCTTGGCTGTTGTCCTGATTTCAAAATAACTTCATATACACAGTTTTAAAATGTTTTGGTCAGTTTCTCATCTGCATTTGGGTCATGTTGGCAAAGCCTGGGTGTAGCAATTCTTGCTCATAAGACTTCAGAGATAGGAGGTCTAGGTTTGGAAAAGGTAGACAACTTGCATCAGTACAGCTAGACAGCTGTTCCCAGCGAGCAGCCTCCCCTGCCGTCCCACCCTGCCTTCTGACCAATACCACGCTTTCTCCCGCCACAGCATCTTTTGCTAGGGTGACCCGTTGCTCTTCTGGTGTAATGAGCCTCTAAAAGGGATTGCTCATTAGGGGACCAGAAGTGATCAGATTCATGGGGCTGGAAGAACTGTTCTTGGGTTCCACAGTTTTTCCGGTGGGTATCAAGGTAACAAGTTTCTTGGACAGTGTCCTTGTCCCCACGGCGAGCCACAGCCACCCCCCGCCTCTGCAGGAGACCCTCCAACACTAGCAGGTAGTCCTTTAAGATCAAACACATCCTAAAAGATCTACATTGTTGCTGGTTTCCAATTCCATGGGCTTGGCCGGCTGGGGCTGGGTGCCAGCGGCTGGTAGCGGCAGGTGCCCGCTGAGCAATAGAAGCCCAGAGAAAGAGGGAGTGGCAGCAGCAGCGGAGAGGACACCGCGGGAGAGAGGCCAGGAGCGAGGAAGGGTCCCTGAAGCCCGCCCCCTACCCAGCGCCAGACTCTGTGGGCACACTGGGTGAGCATGGTCGGCGGGCAAGGTTGCAACCGTGTGGATGAAAGGCTCTTGGTGCTACAGCCAGGAGTCAGTGCTGTGCCTCTGACGTGGGAGAGCCAACTTCAGGACACTGGTCCACAAGAGACCTCCCAGCTCCACGTAATATCAAACGGCGAAAATCTCCCAGAGATCTCCATCTCAACACCAAGACCCAGCTTCACTCAACGACCAGCAAGCTACAGTGCTGGATACCCTATGCCAAACGCCTAGCAAGACAGGAACACAACCCCACCCATTAGCAGAGAGGCTGCCTAAAATCATAATAAGGCCACAGACACCCCAAAACACACCACCAGACATGGACCTGCCCACCAGAAAGACAAGATCCAGCCTCATCCACCAGAACACAGGCACTAGTCCCCTCCACCAGGAAGCCTACACAACCCACTGAACCAACCTTAGCCACTGGGGACAGACACCAAAAACAACGGGAACTACGAACCTGCAGACTGCAAAAAGGAGACCTCAAACACAGTAAGATAAGCAAAATGAGAAGACAGAAAAACACACAGCAGATGAAGGAGCAAGATAAAAACCCACCAGACCTAACAAATGAAGAGGAAATAGGCAGTCTACCTGAAAAAGCATTCAGAATAATGATAGTAAAGATGATCCAAAATCTTGGAAATAGAATAGAGAAAATGCAAGAAACATTTAACAAGGACCTGGAAGAACTAAAGAGGAAACAAGCAATGACGAACAACACAATAAATGAAATTAAAAATACTCTAGAAGGGATGAATAGCAGAATAACTGAGGCAGAAGAACAGATAAGTGACCTGGAAGATAAAATAGTGGAAATAACTACTGCAGAGCAGAATAAAGGTAACAAGTTTCTTGTTATCTTGCTTCAAAATTGCAAAAAGTAAGTAGCTTTTTTTTTTTTTGCTTGCAGCCAAGATATACTTTTTAGGGGAAAAATGGATTTCTGTAACAAAGGGAGAGGGAAAGAGCTGAAGAGAGATATCTGAACATACATTGTTTCAGGATACAAAAAATTGCAACCTGGGGAAGCTTTAGGGGAATGAGCTGTTGGACTTCTCGGCCAGTCTGTCCTTTCAATGAAAAAGACATAGGGTTTGAGGTTCCTTCCGAAACGGGGCAGGCTAATTTAGCCCCTCCCACGAGCCCGAGGGTCTGTTATATCTCTGTTCCTTGAGTACCTCTCTCACTGAGACCGACCACAGCAAGCAGAGGCTGAAAAATAAAGAGCAAAGAGGAAGAAAACAAAAGCTGCCAATTATGGAAGATAGAAGGGGTAAGAGAAAAATTGATTTGATCTGAATCCTTAAGAACAAACAAAAAAAAAAAAAAAAAGGAAAAAAGAAAACCAAAAGCCCGGACCAAAAGCAAGTACTTGAAAGAGCAAGAGGCAAAAAGCCCTAAATACACTTTTCCACCCTCTCCTTCTGAGAGGAGGCAGAGAAAAAACTCTGGGAAACATTTTAGGAAGCCAGGCTCCGAGGTTAGAGTCAAGGGTGGCTCCTGAGCAAGCTGGAGCAGCTCATGAATATTCATTAGCAATTGGTATTCAGATCTGGTTTTTTAGAGGCAAAAGACTTCTTCCGTCCCCTCGCAGTTTAGGAGGCAGCTGCCTCATTTACAGTCCAGAGTCGTCTTGCTTCGGGTCAGTACCTCAGTGAGTTTGCTTGAAGATGCTGGGCTCTGTGTGTAGATTTGCCTTGTTCTCGAATTTCCTGTGTGCGTTCCTGTTGTGAAATTAGCAAAGGCTTCTCTGCCTGGAATTAGACAGAGAAGTTAATGTGGCAAGAGCCTGTCACAACAGGACCCGAGAGTATGTCTTACAAAAGACTAAACTTTTCTTGGGAGGTGTGGGGGAGTGTGCATGGGTGTGGGGAGGGAGGGAAGGGGTATAGGTACGAAGAACAGTTTTATCTTTAAAAAGCAAGGCTTATCGGACGGACTATATTTAGATTTTGTCTAAAAACTGCGAGAGCAGCCTGGTTTGTACAGATGGTGTGCGGTCTCTGTCCTTTACCTCTTTTGGGCATTTTTTGCCAGGACAGAGAGCCAGCTGCTTGCCAGCCCGTGGGAGCCAGGAAGAATGTCTGCAGCATCGTGGTTGTGTAGGGTTGCAAACCTTCATCAGCTCTGGTCTCTAATATCCCCACATGTTTTTATCACATACAACGTGGAGGAATGGGATGAGTAGTCAGTAGAGTTCTTAATAATGACAGTAATGATAGCTGTTAACGTTTTCGTCTTTACTCTGTGCTGGGAGCTGTTCTAAGCGTATTACACGTGTTACTTATTCCTCACAGCAACTTATAAGGTGAGTGCTATCATTATCATCCCCATTTCCCAGATGATGGAGTTGAGGTAGTGAGAGAGTAGCTTACCTTGGGATCACACAGTAAGTGGTGAATTTGAATGCAGGCGACAGACGCAGGGTCCGAGGGTCTATTTCCCTACCCTGTTGCTCCACTTCAGAGTCTCTTGTTACTGCTTCCACGTTGTTGATTTGGGTTTGCAAATCGTTGAAGCTACAGGGGAAATGATACTGGTGAAATCTCAAGTCTGGTAAGGAATTTGTTCTTTGCTATCAAGTTTACATGCATTTTTCCCATTTGGTGCCCGTGGCCATTGTCTGTGGTAGGGCCCAGGTATTGTTATTATTGACTTTTACAAAAGGGAGAGACTGAAGCCAGGAGGGGTTAGATGGCAGGAATCACACAGCTCGTTTTCAAAAGTCCAAAGCAGACTAGAAATCCCCTGCCTCTGGTTTCCCTTCTAACCTGCAGATTGAGCTGAGTCATCTCTGAACTTCTGTCCCCACCCCCAGACACTTTCAGTTCCTCAAGGGACTTGGGGAACTTCTTTCCTCCCTTCCAGATTGTTTCAAGACACTTGCCTCTGCCTTGAAGGCTGATTTGGCCCTCTCCTCCTCCTTTAGTCTGGAACCAAGCTGCTCAAGTTTGAATCCCAGCTCCACCCTGTCCTGTGAGCCTCAGTCTCCTCATCTGTAAAATGAAGAGAATAATGTTATCTACCTCACAGGGTTGTTGTAAGGACTAAATGAGGGATTCATGCAGGGTTCTCAGAACAGGGCCTGATGTATATAATATGTGCTCAATAAATGTTAGCTGTGGCAATCACTCCTTCAAGCCTCATCTTGATTGTTAGTCCCTCCTTTAAGCCTTATAGTAGCCTTATATTGGATGTTTCTGCAATACCTCACCACTTACACCTAAGGTGGCACTTGTCATATTTGTCCACACTCCTGCCTTCTGCATTGCTTCCCAACCTTCCCCTGACTATAATTTCTTTATTTACCTTTGGATCTGCAGTGTCTAGCACAGTGTTTAACACATAATGGGCACTCAATAAATATTTAGTAAGCTAAGTAATATTATCCTAGTTGATGTTCATCCAAGCGTCAGTAGGCTGGTTTAAAAGGGGACCTTTGAGTTTGCAGTGGAGTCCTGCTGGTACAAACAGCTCTTTTGTGCAATATGTAAAGACATCCCTCTAAGTGAATACACTGAAAAACAAAATGCATTTCTTCTGGGTGGGTGACCTTCAGAGCTGATGTGACTCTATGCTAGGGCACCCCATTTGGCCCGTCCAGTTCTGGCTGAACTTCAGCCCCCAGTCCCCTTTCAGCTGAGAACCAAACTGGAGATTTCAGATGCCTCACAGCACAACTTCACTATCTCTGAACAGAACATCTGGTTCCAGAAATAGTGTCCCGCCAGCCCAATTTTATAGCGACCAATCTCGTAGTCTGAGACAACATACTCTGGTAATAGAAGAAAAACAAACACCACAGAGGTTGGCCCTGGATAAAATCATAAAGTACATTAAATTTGTTTCAGCACCCTCCCTTTCCTTTTCTTGGCGTACCTTCAAACCCGTTTGACAAATATTATTGTGTCTTCCATTTGTAAGTCCCTGTGCCAGATGTGTGGGATATAAACAGTTTGCTCACAGTCTAGTGAGGGAGGCAGACATATATACAACCAACTCTAATTGAAGCCAGACTGTGAAGTGCTAACAATCATAGCTAACATTGGTTTTTTATTACGTGCAAGGCACTGTAATTTTTATACATACATCTGGCATTGTCTCATGTCATCTTCCCAAAAAAACCTATGATAGAGATTTCTGCATCTTACAGCTGTGGAGGGAAGTTACTTGGCCAACATCATCCAGATAGTAATAGGCAAAGGGGGGAATTTAGACCAATATAGTTAGGCTGCAAAGCATGGGTTCCTAATAGATAAGTTCTCCTACCTCCCTAAGAGCTATAATAGAAGTTTAAGGAAAATCCCATGAGAAACAGAACAGGGATTGATGATTTGGGGGAAAACTTCTCAAAGATGTGCAATGCTTCAGTTGGACCTAGAAAGATGAGTAGAGTCTGGTGCCCACAATAAGCCCTTCCACATCCCAGCAGTGCTTAAAGACCTTTCTCTTTTACCAAAACTGCAGCCTAGATTTAAGAATAAAAAGCTTTTTTCACTTTTTTCCAGGTTCCAAGTAGGGAACCTATTTACATGTTCATCCTGGAGATTTGCAGGCAGAAGTCCAAAGTTTAGCCTTGATTATGAGTTTGGGATTACCAGTCCTGTAATCTAATAAACCTTTACAAAGTCAACAGGTGCATATTAAATGATTTCTTTAATCATGATTGTCTTGCATGGTCATTGGGCACATGTGGTAAACAGTTTTTTACAAATGGCAGTGATTGGTCTTGCTTTTACTTGGCCAAACCGTATTTTAAGAGTATTTTCTCCCTTGTGTTGTCTTTATGGTTGCTTCTGCACTCCATAACCAGTGGTTGTGCCGAAGGGCATTACTGTTTAATTCCACCTGCCTATGCAGAGTGAAGGTGAGGACTGGGGCACATCCCATCGGGTCTGTTCCTTGTGAGCTCCATTCCCTGAAAAGTTTGGAGGGAGGCCAAAGTTGAGGGCAGCCCTTGTGGTGAAGAATCATCAAACCTCTTGAAGGTTTGATGGAAGTGCAGATGAGCAGAGGCACTGCCTTTGTCTTGGTGAACGTGTGTGTGTGTTCGGAGGCAGTATTTCTTAAACTTCGATATGCATGTGCATCATTGGGGATCTTGTTAAAATGCAGATTCTGATCCCGCAGCTCTGGAGTGGGGTCTGAGATTGTGCATTTCTAGCAAGCTCCCAGGTGTTAGTAATGCTGCCCCTACATAGGCCACACTTCGACTAGCCATGTCATAGTGTCATTGCAAGCCATAGTGTCAGGGCTTATTTTGGTACCAAACAACCAAGCCCTCCCTTCCCCAGTGCTCCCTGCCCCGCCCCCTCCTCTGAAGCTACCACTTTGAGTCACTGATCAGTTATGTCATTGCAGGATGATGGGAAACCTAATTCATGCATTCCTTTGTTCTTTCAGTAAACATATGTCCTAGAATTTTGCCATACAAGAAACAAATCTGAATCTTTATCACATACAATCTGTAATTGCACATAAAGGCCCTTTGTTGGATTTCCTAAACATCTCCCAGCTTTTCTCTACGGCTCCAAGATTCCTTATGCTGCTTTCATTCCCTTCCTCCAACCTGAGAAGTACTGGAACAGAACATTTGGTTGCCCCAGAACCCTTTGCTGGGTGTTTGGAGTGCCCGAGAGCTGGGGCTAGCAAGGATTCAGGACTCTGAGACTGGGAGCAGCGTGCCAGGGGGGCACTGTCTGCACTGCAGAAGTGAGGTGAGAATGATCCCAGACGCAAAGGAGGATAGTGAATGCAGAGAGGACCGATAGGATTTCTTTGGTTTTGGAAAATTGAGGGAATCATAAGGAAAAAAGAAGTCGTTGGAGTAGAGAAGGCAAGAGGGAGTTTGCCTAACATACTTCCATCCCACAGTTTTTGTGCTAGAGTATCAAAATGAATTTAGAGACCCAGGAACAATGGCAGTACATGCCCTACGTAAAAAGGTGTTTCCTGGGCTTCCCTGGTGGCGCAGTGGTTGAGAGTCCGCCTGCTGATGCAGGGGACGCAGGTTCGTGCCCCAGTCCGCGAGGATCCCGCATGCCACGGAGCGGCTAGGCCCGTGAGCCGTGGCTGCTGAGGCTGCGCGTCCGGAGCCTGTGCTCCACAACAGGAGAGACCACAACAGTGAGAGGCCCACGTAACACACACACACACACACACACAAAAGGTGTTTCCTTCTGATCCATAAGGAGGATGTGGACAATTTCTTTCTGTCTGTGAAGATATAAGTAATATGGCATATACTCATTAAAGAAGACATGAAATATGGATTAGAGGAGAAAGAAAAACAATCGCTCATGACAATATTTTGGTGTATTTCCTTGTAGTTCCTTTTTCTATGCCTGGGTTGTTTCTCTTTTTTAGCACTTATTTGACTACAACCTTGAAAAATTACGAGGTGACATTGTGATTGTTAGGCTATACATACAGTTTTAAAGCCTGACTTTCAGTGTAGCAGTGAAGCACAAGTATTTTCCACCTTATAGCATAGTCTTCGTTAGCATAATTTTTATAGTCACATAGTTTTTTTTAAGTGTCCCTGTTATTGAACATTTAGGTTGTTCCCATTTCCAATAAACATCTTTGTGAGTGAAGTTTTTCCATATGTAGGGATGCATGCTGAGGATAGAATCCCAGAAGTAGAATTATTGGATTAAAATTTGTAAATGTTTTTTAAAGTTCTTGATTACTATTAACAAGTTGCTTTACCAAAGGATGGACCCTTCATGCTCCCACGAGGAGTTCCTGTTTTGCTGCATCCCTGACAACTTAGGTGTTTTGTTTTGTTTTTTTCTTTAAATAATCGTGTCCACTTTTATGTTGTTTTAGTTTGTTTAATTACTGGTGAATTTGACATTTTTCACATAATGTGCTTCTTCTTTTGTATACTGTTTACATCCGTTGCCTGTTTATTACTTATTGGATTTTATGTTTTAAATTAATTTATGTGAGCTCTTGATAAAATAAAGATATTCAGGTTTTTCTACTATATTTGCAACAGTTTTTCCAAAACCTTAGTGTTTTTATACAGAGACTTACAGCTATGAATAGATCCAATACATTTTTATCTGTGGTGTTATATTTTCAAAAAAGTTTGATATTACATTTATTGTCTCTTTAACCCAGGATAATTTTTTGAAAGTTCCAGGTAATTGTCATTTTTGTTTAAACCATTAATTTTTCATTTTATTTCACAATGATTAGAGAATATGGCTTTAGTATTTCTGAGGTTTCTTTATGCCTAAGCATGTAGTGAATTTTTATAAATGTGAACACTTGTGAATAAGATATATTCTGTTTTTAAGATATAAAATTGGATATTTGTAAATCTATCCAGTCATTTCAAGTATATGGTAATCCCTCCTCAACCATAATATTCTCCTATGTGAAATTGTAGTACATCTGCATTTACTTTTGTATACTTTTATTGTTACCTATGAGAATTTTAATTCCAGGAAAAAGAATGAGCTGTGAATAACTTTTTATTGTGGCTTATTAGAAAAGGGTGGGGGGCAGTGATAGAGAGTTGGGACTATAAAAGGAAGTAAAATAGATGCGGAGAAGGAGTAAGTCAATAAAGTCTTGAGAAAGATGAAAGAAGATGAGATAAAGTTCTCAGCATCTTAGGCAGCTGAACCTTGTATGGCTATATAACTTTAGGAAGTATTGTAGTATGGTGTGAGTGAAAATTACCAAGTCTTTCCCTCCCAAATAATCATGGCAGGCCCCAGGAGGCCAGAGCCAGGAGGTGGGTCTGGTTGGCAGGATATAGGAGGTGAGGGTCAGAATCTCTGAACTATAAAATTGAAACAGTATTGCTCAAGTGGATAAAGACTCAGACATATGCACAAAAGACATCTGAAGCAGTGTGTCATCAGCAAAATAA